TCCCTCACCCACCCGAGAAGCATAAGCCTCAATGCACCGCAATGCAATCTCAAGAGATTTCTGCACCCGTGCAAGGTCGCTACGCGTAGTCTGGAGTTCAGCCTCCCGCCGCTTCGCCTCATCAAGGGCCGCGGTGAGAGATAAAATATAATATTAATATTTTATTAACAATTTTAGTATTTTTATTTTATTAATAAAAATTGTAAAATATTTATTTACTTTTTAATATATTTTAGAATATAATATATGATGTTTTATTACAAGTTATTATAATATTCTATTAAGAGGAAAGATTTTTTTAACCGTGATTAATATGTTTTATCTAGAAGGTTAAATGAAGATTAATGTATTTAAAAAGAGTAAGTTTATGATCAAATCCTCTTTACACTTTTATTTTTACATATGTGCTTTAGAGCATGAAAATCAGGAGTAAGAAAGAAATCACCTTGCAGTATTGTACTTGTCGTTTAGTGCTTATTCATGTAAGAGGGAGTGAAAAATCTCGCTTTGGGTGTGAGATTATATGTTGGATAGTGTGATTGACCTTAATCTTATCTTTGTTGTATGTCTATGTATGAGAGATTTTTCTAAAATGCGTCTATTTTACATCTTGTTCTTCTTACATGTTCCTAATAACATTAATTGTTTGAATATATGATCAACTGTATGTTTTGGATTGTAATTGTACAATCTGAGGTTCCTATGGTAAACCCTAAGAGAACTTATTGTGATAGTTTGTGAAGATATTGATAGATATGTGTAAATTGGGTGATTTGAAATGTTAATTGCATGTTACATAACACTTTTATCGATTATATATGAATTTATGCATGAAATTAAATGTGGGTAACTTGTAGTCATCGAGGAGATGTGATTTCCAAGAAGAAAGATTGTGTTCTTGCTCAGCGGGATGTGTTGGATTACTTAATGAGAAATCCTAGGGGGCTCAGCTTGATGTTGGTCACTTAAAGAAAAGTTTCAGGGGACTCAGCTCGCTCAACTAGATGTTTGTTGCTTAGCGAGAAGTCCTAGGGGGCTCGTCTAGATGTTGGTCATTCAGCTAGATGTTCGTGGCTCAGCTAAATGTTATCCACTTAGTGAGAGGCTCCATAAAGCTCAGGTTGCTCAGTGACTGTTAAAGGGTTGTTTTACTCGCGTGATCTTGATACTACCTTTTTACTAATGACTAGTTGATGTATTTGAGAATATACATGGGATATATGAGGTGATATGATGAATATGTGATATGTGAAGTGAGATCATATATTGCATCGAGTTTGTTTGACATGCATCATTTGTATAAAAATGTGTTTTATGGGTACAATATGGAATACAACGTCAGGGAAAGCCTCCTTGTGTAAAAGCTCGGGGATGAAGCATTAGGGATAGCTCGATATGAAAGTCTCAATCTTGTCCTCGTGAGCATGAGATGTCTCTTGCGTGACTTAACTATCTCAATCAGACCATAGTTGTATGTCCTTCTAATGAGACTACACAAAAGGTGCGACTTTACATGTATTCTTAGACTACTCTACGTGTATTACTAATGATAATGCATATATGTGATATTTTTACTGGTACCACATGTATGATAACATGTAGTTCGTGTCTATTGCATATGCATTATAATGTTAATTATAATTGTTTATTATGCCATGAATAACCAAGCATGATAATGATATTATTTGTGTATGCTATGTCTTGTCGTATGTCTTATTTGTATTTGACTATCTGTTTCTCATTCCTGCATCGTGAGTTACAGTGAGATGTTTATCACTCCCTTTCTTTTGTGTTGTTTTCTTTAGTTATTATGTAGGTGATCATCAACATGATCGTGAAGATGTTGATGATGAGCTAGACTTAGGTTTCATGTTAGATTGCTCTAATAAGACGTGATATCGAAATTTAGTTGAAACTAGTTTAGAACTTTGTTTTTGTTGGTTCATTTGGAAAACATCAACTTTTAGTTTCTTTGTAATTCTTTCAGTTATGTTATGTTATTTGTTTAATTACAATGTAATCCTCTATGCTTGTAAGGATTTTTGAGTTATTTTATTATATTGAGGTTTATTTAGATTTTATATTTTTATGTCTTATGACATGCAGGATAAAAAATGTTATAGTAAAATTGTAAAATTTGCTAGAATTAATGAGATGAAAATACTATATATCTATATTTTTATCCAAACAACAAAATATATTGCTATATATTAAGATAAAAGAGGGAAAAGAATGTGTTAAAAACAATAATTAATTCGGCTTTAAAATTATTATTAAAATAAAACTTTAATTACATACTACATTATATTAACAATTATTGCATAAAAAATATATTTAAGCGTCCACAAACATGTGATTACATGAAATGTTATATTTGTGTGAGGCACACTTCTATGAGAGACCAGTTTTCTGTCTTCACCAGTTATATCGAGTAAATTTCACTTAAGATTTGCTGAAATTGTATAAATATTTCTTATTTTTTACAATTCTAATAATAATTCTTCTTAATTATTTAAAAATACTATATTATTACTCTTTATACATTACATTGCCCCTTAATTATTTGAAAAATATTTTAATGTGATTAAGATTATGAACGCTTTGATAGTCAAGTGGAGTTCTTGAAACTTGAGTTTTACTTGTGAGAAAAATTGATTGTCCAAATTTAACTCATTTATTTTTTAGTAAAATATGTTTTTAACTCCTCTAAAATTATTGAAATTCCTTTTTAGTTCCTATAAATTCATTTGTCCTATTTTAATTCCTCAATTTTGAAAATATATCACTTTTAGTACTTTAAATACATTAGATAACACTTATTATTCACAGAATCACAAATCATTATATACAGTGAATTTGTTGACTTTTATAATATATATTAGATAATACTTAAAAATAGTTATAAAATACTATTTAAATTATTTTAATGATAAAAAGTATTTTATTTCAAAATTAGAGGACCTAGAATAGGACAAAAAAAACTTAAAGAGATTGAAAAAAAAAAACTAGAGAAATTTTAGATTAAAATATATTTTACCCTTTATTTAATCAAGCCTGTTTGAAAACTTGAGTTTGACTTATTTAAAAAACTTGTGTTTGAGTTTGATTTGTTTAACCCATTTTAAACTTAATTCTTTTTGCTGTTATAAATTTATGTTAAATTACTTTTTAACTTTATCAATATAACATTTAATAACTATGTAGACAATTATATGTGAATATATAGAAAAATGTGTTTAATATGTAATAAGTGAAAATAAATTATTTTAAATTATTATATATTCATAATTTAATAAATTAAAATTATAACTTATGAGTATTACAAGAAAGAAATTTTAAAATTCATTTAATACTTTTTAAAAAAGAGACAATAACCTTTTTACTTTGGAAGACAAAAAATGAATTATTAAAATATCAAACTTACAATGCGTAAAAGATACATGCAATTAATTAATAGAATTAAGTCTATACATAAAACATCGACAACATTACATAAAAAAATATTTATATAAAAGAAATATATATATATATATATATATATATATACGAGTTATTCACAAATTCTAAACATCCAAGATTTTAAAAGTTACACTTAGATCATTTAAATAATAAAGTCTAATGTTAAGTTTGAATTTATTTGTTTAACTAAATAAATAAATTTAAATGAGTAATTTACGAATTGGATAATTCGTGAATGGGAGTTGCTACGGTACCCTTAAAGATCAAGGGAATTTAATACATTTTTCTATGTAAACTTATAAAAGACTTAAAAAAAATTAATTTAATTATAAAATAAATAATTCAAATTATACTTATAAAATAAAAAGTAAGATAAAATTATAAAGATTAAAATTATAAGATTTTAATAATATTATAAAATATTAAAAAAAAGAAAAATTTAATAAATAGTAGAAATAAAAAATTATTAAAATTATAAATATAGAAATTCAAAAATTTAGGACAAAAAGACAAAAAATATACTTAAAAAATTATTAAAATTAAAATATAGAAATTCAAAAATTTTAAATGAAAAGATAAAAATATACTTTAAAATTTATTAAAATTAAACTATTTAAATATATAATAATATTATTACAAATAAATTAGAATATATAAAATAAAAATAAAATGACTAAATAATTTAAAATTTGAAAAAATAAAATATCATAAATATTATTTAAATAAATTATTAAAAATAAAAACTTTAAAGACTATACCGGTACCCTCTCAAATAAGTTTCTCTTCGTGAATAACTGGATTCATTTACAACCATAACTGTGCCTCCCGTAAAAAAATTATCGTAAACGTTCCAAAGCATGAGATGTCAGTGTATTTTAATAAAATTTTAAGGAGTATTAATGTAATTTACTTTTATATTTTAATCATTGTATTTCCATATCGGATTGTCACGTGTACGATTTTCATTGAAAATTAGATCAGGAAAGGTCTTTGTATATATTTTACAAGTATTTTAACTCAGGTTGTAACTTTTTTGATTAACTAAAACTTTTATTTAATTATGTTAGTTTTGTTTGATAAATATTTTATCTGTTAGATAATTTTATCTGTTGATAATTTCTTTTAAAAATATTTAAATTTATTATAAAAAATAAATATGAAAATGATAGATTAAAAAATATGAGAGGATAATAAAAATTTTCAAAACCATTTTTTGTTTAAAATAATTCTTAAAAAATGCTCACGTTGAAAATACTATTTATAATTAATGTATAAAAACGGTTGTTTTTAGGGCTATGAAAACAAGAAAAGGTTCATTTTCACCCCTCCCATTTCTAAAAGTTCATTCCTCTTTAAAACATGCTGCTAAAAGACCTTTTAGCTCCCTCTTTCCCTCC